AAAATCACCGGCTGGGTGACCTTGGACAACGGGTCGCTAGCCCTGTCTGGATCTCCTTTTCCTCGTCTCGAAAATGGGTTCTTACCACCTCGCACCTTAACACCCTGCTGTGCCAAAGCGGAGGCTCCCAGGGGATGTGCCATCACCATGCAGTGCGATGTCGCAATGGGAGTACGGAGATGCATTTCGGTCTGAGGCTGCGCTGGGCGCCCCGGGTCTGGGATGAGTCCCGTAAGTGGAGGTAGGGTAAGGGCTGGGCGAGGGGGGAGGGGAGCCAGGGACACCAGCCGGTACCCCACCCTCCCGGCTGAGACCGCCTGAAGGCAGCCTCGGGCCTGAACGGTTACCTGCTAACCTTGTGGGTTGGCGTGTCCTGGGGTCCTCCACACCCATGGGTGTGCGGGAAGGGAAGGGTCTTTGTTCCCCCCTCAGACCGTGACTACGAGACCCTAAGTACCCTCTGTGTCCCCATTCCCATGGTTCATCCATCTGGCCATTAAGGGTTGGGGATCCTGTCACCCACCCAGCTCGGGCCACCACTGCCCTGGGACTGTGGGACCCACCTCGCCCTCCCGGGGATCAGGTACGCCAGGCGGGGCGTGGGGACGGCGACCCTGGCTTACCTCGGCTCCTCGCTCCTGCAGCTGGAGTGTAGAGGGCTCTTTGTGCCCGGCTCTCAGCAGAACTGGGGGAGCCCCTGCAAGCGCCTCCCCTCGCAAACTCCTCCCCGCACTGGTCCGCAGCCTCCCTCCCTACGGCCCCCCAGCGCAGCCGGCGTCGGCTTCGCCTTTACTGCAGCGCCCATGAAATTTTAATGCAGGAGCGGCTGGCGGGCGGAGGTGCCGCACCCGGCCTCGGGGGTGGGGGTGGGGGTGGGGACGCCCTGACAAGCACCCATCTTGCGTTCTAGGGGGTCGGGGCAGCGAGACATGGGGTGCGCATCTCCCCCCGCGTCTCACAAAGGGGCTACTGCGAGGCTCAGCCTCAGCATCCTCGCCTGCAGCGCTACCATAGCAACGCTGGCCAGTGGAGAGGCGCGCGACAGTCGGAGGCCAGGTCGCGGACTAAGCAAGAAGCCCAGGCAGATCCAGAAGAGGACCCCCCTCCCCCAACCGCCCAGCCCCAGAACCGATTCTTAGGGGGCAGAGCCAGGGCGTGGCTCCCGGGCAACTCTGCTAGGAAGATTCGAACCCAAGTCTGTGGCACACTTGGTCTATAGTTTTGGCATCTGCTTTGCCTGCACTCCTTGGCACCATTATGATCTCCACGGGGTTGCTAAAGAGTTGCCAAGAGCTGTGGTCCTCTTATGCTCCAAGCCTGCACCATTCACACCCTTGAGACCCTCATGTAACTATCACCTCCTGCCCCGCTATAGTGCCACACAACCAAAACTTATGAAATAGGACCACCAGGCAACTCTAATGACTCTTCCAATTGAGGAGCCAACGCTGTGCCTGCTTCTAGAACTGGCACTGGTCCTTGGCTTAAATGCCAGCTCTGACCATGCCCTTGACCAGAGGTGACCTTCTGGGCTGTCTCCCCAAACTGGGTTTCTGTTGCCTTCTGGTAGTCAGGGGGAGGGCCACCCAACACAAGATGGCTCTCGGGGTGGGGGTTCCAAGCCATCCTCCTAATTAAGCTAGCTCACCTTTTGTCCTTTTTAAAGACATTTATTTAGTAGGTTGGGGGGGCCTGTGGGGCTCAGAGGACAACAGGGTGGGTTCTCTCCTCCCACCATTCCAGGGGGGCAGAATTCAGCCGGGGCTTGGCAGCCGGTGACCAGCTGAGCTGTCTTCCTGGCGTGCCCTTGCCTTTCATTTTCACACCTTGGTATCTCTCTAACTTCCCTGCTCACATAGGAGGTGACAACGCTGCACAGGGCCTCTGCGAGGGACCCATGTGAGATCTGAACTCATGCTTCTAGATTCTGTCATCTTGGTGCACACCTCTCGCTGGGAGCCCCCAGCCTGCCCTTTAGCGGGCCCATGCCACACATCCAGTGTACCCAGCTGGAGGCCAACAGGTAGCCGGTGACACCACCATGGCCTCGGATACCTCCCCATCAGGGAGGCAGCACCCGCACGGGCCAGTTAGAAAGGCAAGCGTGCTTGCTCGTGATTCCTGGACCACAGCACCTGACCTTGGCTCCCCCCCCCCCCCTGACGTGCCCAGGATACAAGCCAAAGGGTCACAGAGCTAGGAAGTGAGCAGGGAGGGTACACACAGGTGGCCTTTTTCTTCTCTGAGATCCCCAAGCCACTGGTATCAGCTGCTTATCTCGCTGATGTAATAAAAGACCAACTTGAGGGAGGAGGAGTTCATTCTGGCCGTTGGAAGGTGCAGTCCAGCATGGCTGCTGGATGTGAGGTCACACTGCATCTGTAGTCAGGAGGCAAGGAAGGAGGAAGGCTGCTCATCAGCTCACTTAAACCTCTCTGGAAACACCCACACGGGCGAGCCCAGAGGTGTGTCTCCCAGGTGGCTCTGCATCAGAGGAGCTGGCCCTCAGCCGTCTCTCTCACTCCGTGTTCTTGACTCCTCCACCAGTCCCAGTTTCTGCCTACCCCTGCCTTACTTCCTTCCGCCCCCGTCTTGGTTCTTTCCGGAATCAGCAGCATCTGTGGTCCTGCTTGCCAGTGTCTTCGTGTCCAGAGACGTCTCACCAAGGCAAGCGGTGGGCGGGGGGGGGGGGGGGGGAAGCAACAGTGCACACACCATTAGGAGACGCTGTGGGCTCTGTGTGAAACAGACTGTGCTTAGCACTAAGAGACCCTAGGTGTGATGCAAATTGAATGATGCAAGGAGGCAGCAGACCCCCCACGTCAGCCTGCCATTGCTTGGATGCCCTCCATCTCCATCATGGCGTCATTCTTCATCTACACCTCCTGCGGACCTTCGACCTCCTCCTGTCCATCTGCTGAAAAAAAACAGAGTGTAGCATCCTCCACTCTCCTCCCTCTACCCGGCATGCCCTCACATGCCCTCACATGCCCTCACATGCCCTCACATGCCCTCACATGCCCTCACAACCTCTGGGGGATTCCCAGACAGCCTGCCGGTGAGAGATGGACTCCCTCCCATCTCCCCACTTGTGTAACTCTGACCCTGGCTGGGCTCACTGCCTGAGCAGAGATGATGAATGAACACGACCAGCATTACCCTTGCTGACCAAGGACTTGTGGGTGATGTTTATAGATGCAGCTACCTTGAGCCCTGATGCACCATGAGCAGACTCCCCCAAAACACTGTCTGCCTTTCTTGAAAGTGACCCCAGCCAACTCCTGCTGAGTGCTGGTTGTCAGGGCAACAGGAGGAGGCACCATCAGACTTCCAGAGATGCACTTGAGAATAAAATGGGCACCCTAATCGTCCTGGTCCCCAGCCTGCCCCTGCTTCACACCAGGTACTGTGGCTCTGAGGGAGCAACCGGTGATTCTGGACAACTCTGACCCTGACAATGCATGTTGGAAAGAGGAAACAGAAGAGCCCTTCCTTTCTTTATCTCTAAAGAGACATCCAGAGGAACTGAGTCCCTGCTGCTAAGTTCTGGGTCCCAGCATCCCCTCCAGGTACAGTGAGTTCGAGTTCATGTCCACATCCTTGTCGGGCACTGTTCTGGGTGCTCTACCCTCGTTCCCTCCTGCAACATTCCAAGAAACTACTGGTGCCATCTCTGCTAGACACATAAAGTCTAGAAGACCCCTAGAGGGCAAATGGCTTACCTGGCACCCAACGAAGTGGGTGGCAGGGCTGTGAGGGGAACGTGGGCCCTCTGCGAGTGTCTGCATCCATGCCTACAGTCCCCTGGGAAGCAGTGAGCCACCCGCAGCTGTGCGTGAATGCATTGCTGTGCTGCAGGCTTTCTGGGGTGCAGACACCGCTCTGAAGTTAACCTGTGCCACCACTCAGAAGGAACTTCACCAGCTCAGGGCGGTTACCACAGCAGCAGGTGGTTTCCACCGCCTAGATGTGTGACCCCATGGGCAGGGTAGGGGTTGGTGCCCATTACCCCAGGTGCAGACCTCCAGGTGGGACTCACCCTGGCTGGTGAGAGAGGGCAGAGAGGAAACCAGAAGCAATGCCTCAATGCTCCTACGGCTGTGTTCCCCGCTAGGGCTGCCTCCTGAGCCACAGCCGGGGCAGCACCTTCAGAAATCCTGGGTGCTGCCCCTCTAGGCTGCTTCCCCGGGTGTCTCACCCTTGTTCTGAGACTGCAGCTGCTCACCAGATCCCGACGTGGCATACGCACACCCCAGTGACCCTCGATTGGAGGCCCCGACCCTCGTGACCTCAGTGAACCCTCTGTCACTCCTTTAGAGACCTATCTGCAAACTCGCATCTGGACGCAGCTCTGGCCTAAGGCTTCACATCAAGGCAGTGCAGTCCTCGCTTGGGAGCAAGTCTTCCAGCCAGCTAGACCTCTGTTCCCCTGAGTTCCTCCAGAGGCTGTGGGGCACACCTGACCTGACCAGTGATGTCGAGGGAACTGGTACCTACCCGCTGCCCTTTGGACGAGCCGAAGGACGCTCGCTTACGCCTAAGACTCTTAACTGGCTCCAGGCACAGCCTGAACATGACTTTCTCACCAGAGCAAGCCATCAGCAGGGAGCCACAGGGTTCTACAGAGAGGCGTGACAGAGGACATCCCCCACAGGAGACACAGGATTGTCCTCATCGCTGTCCCCCCCACTTCGAGTCCATCCTGAGCCAACAACACCAGGAACCCCTGCCTAGAGATGTCCCACCCAGTACTTGCCCGAGTGGCACATGAGGGACACATCAGACAAACCTCTGCAGGGAACCACAGGCCAGGAGAGACACGAGTTGTCTCACAAATGGAAGTCACTGTGGTCATCGCTACTACGAAAGCAATTGCATGGGGGGGGGGGGGGAGTGACACCACCAGGTCCGAACAAGCTCAGACACGATGCCACACACTGACACTTGAAGGTCTCACAGCAATGTTTACTTGTTTGCTTTTCAGGACTTTTGAGCAAAAACAAGCTCAAAGTGATGTCACTCTAGAAAGAGCCAAATCCTAGTGCTATTGATCCATTTTCTACTGCCATCGAAAAATGCCTGAGACCATGTATGTCTGTGTGTCTGTGTGTCGTGTGTGTGTGTGTGTGTGTGTGTGTGTGTGTGTGTGTGTGGTTTGTGTAGATCCCAGCCCTGATCCCTGCTGCTTAAACTGAGAGTCACAGCCTTACACTGGATTATGTAACTGAACAGGAGGCCACAAAAGAAACTGGCATCAGCAAGAGATTTCTGAAGTGCAAACGAACATGAGGAAGAATGCTCGAGCTTTACATATTACACGCCTATTTTACATATCCTCACACTCAGGAAAAAGAACATGAGAGACTCCAAGGTGCTTCTGGCAGCACTCTCCCGTGTTGCACCTCATGGCTTCCCTGCAGCCTTGGCTCTGAACATGTAACATGTACACGGTACCCAGTGCCCAAGGAGCCTGGACTGAGTTACGACCGCTCTGTGTTTGGAACCGCAGCACAACTGTGCACACACAGTTGTTTGCTCTCTTCCAAACAAAAGCATTTATCAGTTTCCTGCTGCTGTTCCTCAGCACGAATCAAATGGGTACACCTTTGGGTTGGCTTCTCTCTCTCTATTTCTGTGTGTGTGTGTCTGCGTCTTCTATGCACCATGCTCATGGTCACTCATCAGACCTCATTCCATCAGCAGGATTTGATGGAGGATTTTACTCCTCTTCGTGGAGTCCTATGCATCCTCCTGCCCCCAGGCTCTGTCCCCTAGCTTCTGTGAGCCTGTAGCTGCATGCATGCCGCCATCCCTCTGTCACCTTGTCTCTGTGCCC